GGAAGTGGGTATTGGGACACGTGGATTGTGGAGCACAAGGGCTCTGGTAGGTTGGAAAAGGGATGGAAGAGGCTTCACCTTCTCCTCTCAGCATCTTTGGGACTGTGCCCTTCAGTCTCTTGTTGTGGCACAGGGAGGGAGGACTCAGACCTGGCTCTCACAGCGTGGATGTTCCAAGGGCTGAAGGTTCTCCCCTCATGGCAGAGCAGGAATTGATGCTTTCCCAACAGAATGGGATGTAGTGGAAGCGTGAGATTCTTCAGGCACTGATGATTTGCCCTGTTAATTGACTTTTTTTCCTGGCAGTGTCACCATGAGCCTTTGTCAGGCAGCGTTTCATGGCAGTGATGCCAAGAGGATGTGGGTAAGGATAGGGATGAGGGATTGGGATTAGGGATGGGGATAGGGGTAGGTCATGGCTGTGTGTTCAGACCTTTTGCACTGTCTGGGCTCTCCCCACCTTTCCTGTGTGCTGAAAGCGCTGAGTGGGTTCCTGTCTGGACAAAAGGCTCTTATCAGGACACAGCTCGTTCCAGGAGCAGGGAATGCCAGGGTCGGATGGACACCAGGAGACAGGATGAAAAAACTGCCACCACATCTCCCACCAGCATTAAACCAGACAAAAGGCTTTCATCTTCCCAGGCTGAGCACCCTCCTGCTCATGGGCTGCTTGACCTGGGACACAAACACAGTGTGGAAGTGCTGGGATGGAGCTTTTCCAGGGTTGTTCCCTGTGTGTTTGCACAGCAGCATCAACTGCTGGGGAATAAGGCCGTGCTGAATTAATTGAACTATTTCAGAGATGAGTTTGGTCCGCTAATTCCATATCGATTCTGGGCTTTAAATAGCATTAAGGACCCATGTTAAAACTCAATTAAAACCCAGGAATGCAGTGGTGGGAACGGGGTAAGGTCACATCTGTGCAGGAGGTGGAATAATGCAACTGTTTCCCCTGACAGGGGTCTGTATCTGGTGTAATCGGAGCTAAATTGAATCTGTGTTTAATCTGATCAGGGGCTGCCCCTTCTGTGAGGAAGAACAAGGTGGAATTAATGAGCCCTGAGGAGGTCTGGGAGGTCTGTGTGGAAACAGGGACCAAGTAATTGAACTTGTGCTCCCTTGGGAAATAGCGGAGTGTGATGTGAGTAGATGGCTTGAAGTGGCTCGTGCTGGCCAGGCCAGCCCCGGAATCTGCAGCAGGGATTTTATTGGTGACGTTTCCCAGTTTTCTTCCCGCTGTGCAGTGACTCACAGGGAACCTCCTTGGCAGAGCCATCGTACACCTGGTGTGGTGGTTCCTCTAAACACACTGCAGGGCCAATCTTCTCCACCAAACCGTTATTGCCAGAATTAACAGGGCTTGGGAGGTGCTGCTGAGGCGGAGCTGTCGGTGGGTAGGTGGGATAACAGCAGGTGGGAACTGGGATTAAGTGTTCCAGGGAGTGGGATGAGGATGAGGAGAGCCTGGGGATTGGGACATACCTTCATACACAGACTCATCAGCACCCCAGTTGCACTGACATCCCACTTTGTCTTACTTAGAGGTCTCCTCTCCCTGTTCAAGCTTCAGATCTCCTCTCCCTGTTCAAGCTGCATTTTATGGGAACATCTCCCCCTCATTTAAGGGTCAAATCAGCAGTGAGAGCAGATACATCTTGCATCCAGTGTTGTGCAGATGACTGGAGCAACTCAGAACCCAAAGTTGTGTATGATGGTGGGAAATAAATGATCCCAGATCTTCTGAGTGAGGATCATCGGGTGGATTCTTCAGGCACAGCCCCCACGCCCGGGGGGTTCATCAGACACTTCTCCCCCTGCTCTGCTCTGTCCCAGCAGAGATACCACAAGCACAGAGAACATGTCCTTTTTTTGCAGAGTCCTGGTGGTCATTTGGCTCCCCCTGAGCTGCCATTCCACGTTTCCAGGCTGTGCCATGGCCCTCTGGAGGTGGCTCTGGACCGTCTGTTCCATTTGCATCCCCGCAGGGAGAATTATCAGTGGCTTTCAGGAGCGGGGCGTGAAGGGGCACACTGTTCCTTTTCCCTCTCCTACCTCTTTGGGACCATTTGCCTTTTCATTTTTGCTTTATTGGATTATTAAAAGGCTGCTGCCAGCTGGCTGTAGGTAAGTGGGGGTTTTCTCTGCTGCAGTCTGCAGAGAACAGGCATCCGTGTGGAGCCATTTAGTCCTGGCAACTGCTTCCTATTTTTCCAGATGATTCCAGCCAGCTCTTTTTGTGTTTAGCCTATTGTCAGATGCAGCCACAAAGGCTCAGGGTATTAATCCTGTCATCTGTTCGGTGTGTGGAGCTGCTGAGTGGGCTGTGCCGTGAATGAGGAGCTGGAGGTGCAGGGGGAGAGCGGGATGTGGCGTGGGCATGTTCGGAATCGGTGCCTCTTTCCCTGGCATCGCTGATTGAGTGTGAAAATTCCCTTCTGCGGCCCCGGGGAGGGGCCTGTGCAAGTGCAAAGGTCTGATGGTGTGAGGGCAGGTGGAACTGGGGCAGGCTGGAGTGGTTGGAGGGGCACAGCCCTTCCCTGCAGCCGGAGTGGCTCCTGAGGAATCCCGAGCCGTGCTTGGAGCAGACAGAGCTGAGCAAGTGATGCCAGGAGCTGTTGTTTCAGACAGCAAGAAGTCTGGATTTCTGTGTCTGTGTGTGAGATGCACCTTTGAATGTGTATCAGGAAAATCTACCCAGAGAAAATGCAGAGCATAGAAAGTAGGTCTGACTGTCACTTCAGTGAAAACCAAGTGTGTTTTGGAAATGTCTTGGTGTGTTTCTTTTAAAAAACAAACAAACAAGCAGCAACAAAAACAAAGACAAGAACATCCGCTTGTGGATAAATATACCCGTTTTTTCTGGGTTTGTGCTTCCCATTTACAGCAGGTGCCAGTTTTTCTGGAGAGCCTGAAGAGCAGGAACGTCTCCAGAAAATGCTCAGGTTACAACACCTGGATAAAACCCTCCTGTGCCACTTTTGTAGGGACATGGTCAGCAGAGGGCAAATGCCCTGGGGAACTTGTGGTTGCCAAACATCTCCAGCTTGTTTTTATATGTTTGGCCAAATCCTCAGCTTGCTGGAGGGGGAATATTAAGACAGCAGCAGCCCTGAGAGCTGAGCAGTGGTTTGTTGAGAAGTTCTGCTTGGACAGGGGATAATTAATGTGATTTTTTTCCCAGTGACCACCCTTAGGTCCCCTAAAGCACTGGCTCGAGCTGGAAGGAAGGGCACCTCTGAAAGGATGCTCCTGTGCCTGGGAGTGGAATGGAACAATGTCCAGTGAGCCCCAGCACAGCTGATGGTGTTGATTTTGTTTATTAAAGCCAGGCCTTTGTGCAGCAGCAACGGAAAATCCCATTTCTGTACCCATAAAAACCTTGCTCCCGTGGTTGTTGTTATTGGCAAACTCAGTCCCTTTGGTGTTGATGGAAAAGTATTTACTGGGCAGGCCTGCATGGTTAGCAAGCTTCATCTGCTTTCATTGTGCTCTGATGGGCACACAGGGTGCTGTGGGACTTGGGGTGTCCTCCCTGAATCCCTGTTCCCAGGCTGGTATCCCTGTCCTGCAGCGTGGACAGCTGATGTCCCTCCTGTTCAACCATTCCCAGGCCCAGCTGGATGTGGGGGATCAGCCAGCTGACAGTGGCAGTGACACAGAACTGCTGCAGAAGGATTAAAAGGAGCTCCTCTAATAAATGGAATTACACAAACACGCCTGAGAGCCGTGTGTGCTGTTTAATTCCTTCCCAAGAACGGGCATTCCTCAAGGAATGCCTTTGTCTGCCTGACAGACACGTCCAGGAGCCTGGGGCATCCTCTCTGAACCCACAGTGCCCTGAGTGGCAACTAATATTGGCCTTCAGCTCCCTCTTAGGAACGGTTATCCCTGCAGGACCGAGAGGGTTCCTTGCCAGGCGGTGATTTTGGGGCTGGCAGAGCCCTTGGTGCCGTGCAGACCTCCCAGGCAGCTGGCACTGCTGGCCCTGGCTCCCTGCCCGTGTGCCCAGGGGTGTTTCTGCCCACTGCTCTGTGGAAAGGATCCTCTGCAGTGGGGGATCCTCCAGGAGGAGGAAGCTGTCGTGGCTTTGACTTTGTTTGTCCACGAGGCAGGAGCTTTGCAGGCGTGGACAGATGGAAGGGCACAACCTTTGTTTGATGTGATGTGAGGTTGCTCTTCACTGAATAAATGACCAGTGTTAGAGTTACAACCTTGCATGTTTCTCTTTCCCCTCCAAACCCCGTGTCCCCCCTTTTTAAGGGTATTTATTTAGTCTGAAATCATCAGCTGAGTTTTTAAGAAAACCATTAAATATTCAGAAGTTCTCGGTGAGGCGCAAAATAAAGGATTAAATAGCCCAGAAAAGCTGCTCCGTGACTTTCCCAGCTCCTGCCCCTCGGTGCAGGCGTTCCCTGGGGTATCCCACGAGGGAACTTGTGCACAGGTAACTGTGCTCTTGTTCACAAGCACCCAGATGTTTAACTCAGAGCGTGCCTGTCACAGTGCCTTCAAAATGCAGGTGGCATTGCTGGTGTCAGGAGGTTTTTGTCAGCCAGGCCCCATCACAGGGAGATGTTGCAGAGGTGGCACAGGGGGACCTGCTGGCTCTTGGAATGCCAGGGACACCTCATCCCCTGTTTATATCCACTCCTAAAGATCTCCTGGCCCTCAGTGGGAACGTGAGGCTTGCAGACCCCTCGGCAAGGGCGAGGTGTTGGTAGAGCCCCTGGAGCAGGGGTTGTGTCCATGTGCTCCGGAGTATTCCCAAGGGGAATTCACCTGGTGTTTCAGGAGTGGGGAACCTCTGTGGGCACCTTGTTTTTAGGAAAGGGATTCAAGGGATCTGCAGGACAAAACCTCATCTCCCAACATTTCTCCGCGTGCTCTTTCCCAAGGGCCTGGATCAGAGTTTCCATAACCACCACTGATGGAGGGCAGGGCCTGGTTTGGCCTCTTTTCTCTCCCCCCAGCTGACTGAACTTTGTTTTCTTGCCTTTCAGTCCTTCCAAGGAAGCCAAGGACGTGCTTATCTCTTCAATTCCGTGTGAGTACTAAGCGTAGCACCCGCGGCCCGGGGGGTGGGGGGGAGAAAAAACCCTCGTGAGGGGAGCACAAAAGGAGAGTTCCCCTTAAAAAACCTCTGCCTGGGGCTCGGGAGCTTGGTGGAAATGTTCAAAGAGAGAGAGGCAGGAAGTGGCACTGATTTATATTTGATTCCTGGTGAGGTTGCAGATGAGCAGTGAGGAAAAAGGTGATTTTTTTTTTTTTTTCATCATCAGATTGAGAAATAAGAGCTAATGGATGAATCACTCTCTGCTCCAAGGATGTAGTTGGACCAGAGAGCCAGAATTTCTTAAATGCAGAGATAAAGGATCTCTAAATATGCACTTTTTAGAGCTAACATGAAACCCAAGTCTGATTTCCCAGCGACTGAAAATAGTTTGGGTGAGGTCACTGCTGGGATGTCTCTCACAGGAACTGCTGATTTCGGTTCCATTCTTCAGTTTTTCCATTTGGGAAAGCAAAAAACACCATTTTATCAATTTGAAGCTGAAAATCTCTCTCAAATGCCTAATTAGCACGAGCGACTGGAGCGTTATTAATCTCCTGCTCGGAGCTTCTGGAACAGAAAAAAAACCCCAAAATCTCATTTTACCTTTTTCGCTCCGCTCTGGAACTGCGGGGGAGATCTTTGGGTTGTCCTGAACCTCCTGCTTATGTTTTTAGGGACTGCAGTAAATTGCTGTCAGCTTTGCTGGAGGGTTTTTTGGCGTGGAAAAGCACTAATAGGGAGCCTCTCTGCTTTCCCCCCCCAGAGTTAACGTGGGCTGTGGCCCTGCAGAGGAGCGGGTGTTATTAACGGGATTACATGCGGTGGCAGATATTTACTGTGAAAACTGCAAAACCACGCTGGGGTGGAAATATGTGAGTACCACGGGGTCTCGTCTGCGTTGCCTGGGGACAGCTTTGGCTCCAGCCCTTTCCCAAAGGTGTCTGTGTCATTAGGACCGTTAATTTGGGCCCCCCCCCCAAGTGCAGGTTCCCATCTGCACCTTCCCACTGGGAACACTATTGAACGTGGGTTTATCTGTTTGCCGGCTCTTGCTCTTCATAAATTCAATTAGTTTCAAATAAAGGCTGGTGTTACATCCTAATTTGTGCTCCTGCAGGCACACTGGTTGGCCCAAATGCTCTGACCAGTGTCTGAACAGACCCCACTTTGTACGAAATATTCGTCACTAAATCAGCTGAAGGGCTGTGAACAGGAAAACATCAAAAATTGATGGGGGTGGAATCCATGCAGAAACACAGCGTGGATCCCACAAATGGAGCAGGGCACCAAGTACATCAGTTGAGTTCATGGTAAACAAATGCCAGTATTCCATAAGCAGCAGTGAGCCCAGGCCTCTCCAGCTGGGAATGACCTTTCAGGTGAGTTGCAGGCAGAGCAGCTGAGCAGGGCTGAGCTGCTGTGGAGGCTGCAGCCTCAAGAACTGAGTCCCTCCTGGTCAGGGCCATCAGGGATCCCAGGGATTGCCCTCTCCAGCTGTGCTGTGTGGAGGCACTGGGTGTTTCCAGGGCTGTGACCAGGGATCTGTGCAGAGCTGCTCCTTCTCCTGCTCCTCCAGCTCCACGGGAATTTACCATAACCCATCCCATTCCCAGGGTTGGTGGTTTCACATGTGCTCCATCAGAGAACCTCTGCATTCTTCACAAACTAATAAATTCTCCCTGGAGAGAGGTGGAGTTTATCACCAGTGATTCCTAAATCCTTGGTTAGTTCCAGGAGCCGTTGGCCTATGGAAATCTGCACCTTACATGGTGCCAGTCCTTTTTTTCCCAGCCTGTAAAGACAGCCAGGAGCAGGACTTAAGATTCTTCCCACATCATTTCCCTGACAGCCAAGGGGAACACCTGCACTTTTACTCCCTAGACAAGGCTAAGTCCTGCACCAGCACTGATCCATAACTCTGATTTCCCTCCATCTCATTCTTTCCCCTTTTCTTTTTTTTTTTTTTTTCCTTTGTTATTTTTTTTCCCAGGAACACGCTTTTGAAAGCAGCCAGAAGTATAAAGAAGGCAAATACATCATTGAACTAGCTCACATGATCAAGGATAATGGCTGGGATTGAGTGGGGGAGCCCAGCCCTAGCAGCGTGTACGAGAATGCCATCCAACCGAACATTGTACCCGAGAGTGAGAGAGTGACTGAACGCTTGGTTCCATGCATTTAGAGGCTCTGCGACCCGGGAGCATCTTCACACCCTTCTCCATCTTTATTGGTGACTGGCCTCTAAATTCCTGTCTCTCTGTCTCTTTGCTTTGTATCTGTTTGTGAGTTGACCCTGGCTGCTTCTCTCTCTGTCCCGGCTCGGAGGACGCGCCGAGTGCCGGAGCCATTCCCTGTGCCCAGTGCTGGAGGACGAACTGCCCGTGCCCTCTGCGGTGGCGTTTTTACCATGGAGAGCTCTCGGTGCTGGGGGGAGGACCCGAGGTTTGGGCAGGAGGAGGAGGAGGAGGAGGAGGAGATCCGAGGGGGTGGGCCCCAGGGGAATCGTCACAGGTTGACCCTGCACTTCTCCTTTCAGTCCTGGTTAAGCAAGGCTTGAAACTTCACTCCCTGTCTGAGTGGACAGACCAAATACCTCATGGCCACGCTCCCTCCCCACCCCAACCCCCCCGCTCCAGCCAACCTGGCTGAGCGCAGGTTTGCCCCCATGAGCCACTTGCAATCTGTGTTGTGTTTGCTGTTTGTGAACTCCTTGTTGGAGGGGGCAGGACCTGAAGGCTGCAGACATTTCCCTGCCTCTCCTGGGCCTCACCAAACCCCCCCTGGAGCTGGGCCATGGGGAGCACCCTCAGGGGTCAGAAACCACATCCTGACTCCTGAGCCCTCAGAGAGGGGGAGAAAACCACTTAAGGCACAAGGAGGCTGGAGCTGCTGCAGCTCAGAAGATGCAACAGGGGTGAAAAATAGGTATATGTGAGGCAAGAAAGGAAATTCCCTAGAGGAGGGTGGGGACAGACTCGGTAACAGAGGGTACCCCTTGATTTCTGGCCTCCCCTGAGCACCCTTGGGGGTGTTTCACCAACCCTTCACAAGTGCAAGGAGGAAAATGCTGTTACAGGATCTTTTCCTTAAATCCCAGGCCCCAGCCGAGGTCTCCGTGTGGGAGCCTGGCAGAGGAACGGGGAGAGGAGGGAGCAGAGGACCTGCTGGTTGTATTGCACAGGTGGATATTTCAAGCCATGAGGTATCCCCCCCACCCCCCAAAACCTTCCCCCCTTTTCCCACTCCCAGCAGCCTCTTTGCAGACACATGGGGGGAAAATGGGATGGGAAGAAAAGAACTTAAGAACCTTCCCCCTCCCCCTGAAATGATGCCTTGGAGTTTAAAGCAGGGGGTAAATTGTGGGCAGCAAAACTGCAAGGGGATGAGTCCGTGCCATTTGAATTTTTCCATTGTGATTCCTGAGGACCTTCCCGAGGGGGATGGAAGGGAAGGGGCGTCGTGTGTGAGAGGGAAAGGCGTAGATGACAATGTGAAGTTTTGCTCTGCAACAGTCCAGCCAGGAACTGGTGCATAACTCAAGACCATTGAACTGAATTAGTTTTCATCTCTCTGAGTGAATTTTCCTTTTGTTGGTGGAATTCTTTCAAGTAGGTTAATCCTTGGGGAGGGGGGTGGTGGTGGTGGTGGAAATCTTTCTTAATCCAGAAGGAAAGAGTATTGTGCAGGGGGTTGTGACTCCTTACGAAAGGGGAGCTTTGGAGCTGTGAGCTGGTGGTGCTGGATTCCACCCCGAGGGATCAGGCCTGGGGGGCTGCTGGGCCAGAGTCCCTTTGGTGTTGAATTGGGTGGGAATGTGAGCAGAGACACCCCCTGAGGGATCAGGGGGGGGATCTGAGTGTTGGGTCCTCGTGCTGAAACCCAAACCTGAGGAAGCGAAGGCTGGATTTTCTCTCAAAGCTCTGGTTTGGAGAGGGAAGGGAGTTGGGGGCCGGCCTGGCTCCTGCGGTGGGTGGAGCTGGATCAGTTTGGGGCCAGCCTGAGGTGGCTTCTGCCCTCACCCTTCTGCTATGGCTGTGTAACAGTTGCTTCAGCTTTTGTTTCTGGTCGTCCCTGCTTCCATCATCCACGTTCCCCTCAGAGGTAAAAACCTACTGGAAATCAAAAAATTCCACAGCACCCACTGTGTTGTTCACTCTGGCACTGAGCTGGTCCCATTTCCCTGTCCTTTGCTTGGGGATCCGTGACAATTTATTGGGTTTTGAGTAGGGGGAGGTCATTTCTGTTCTTGAGGGAGCTCTTCGAGTCTCCACAGACACAGAGCCTTTAAAGGGGTCTGGTTGGAGCTGGGAGGAGTAAGGAATAATCCCAGATCCTGTGAGTTTGAGGAGAGCACACAAGGGCTCATCTTTTGATGTTGGTCTTTGGAGTGATTGCTGATAAAAAGTGCTATAAAAGGCAGGGCTGTCTAGAGGACTGCTCTGAGAAATAAGAACTGCAGAGAGCTGGTTTTTATCTCTATATTTGGGACAAGAAAGGACAGTGATCCATCAGATGGGGCTGTTTTTAACCGGTCACAGGTGCTGGGCTTTTAATGGCAACCCGTCTAAGCTTGAATATGAGATCTTAATCTGCTTTTAATTGGTTTTGTCCCACCAGCATCCGCAGAGTCACCCACTGCTGAGAGTGACAGGAAAAAAGCTGTGTGGCTGTGACTGTCCCCAACCCCCAGGGAATCCCCTGGAGGGAATGCAGCGCTCTGCACAGGGACACAAGGAGAGATGGGCTGGGGATTGTTGTGTGCTGGCTGCCCAGTGAATCTGAAGTGCTTCAATCCAGCCCTGGGAGCAGGGCTGGGATCTGTGCTGGGGCTGCCAGGCCTTCACCTGGCAGGGTGGATGGAGCCAGAGCACAACCAAAGAGCCTCAGGCAGCACCCCCTGCTCCTGGGGGGGCCATCCCTGAGGGGCTGGAGCTGGGATAACCAGCTGGGAGATGTGGCCCATGGAAAAGGCAGTGCCTGAGCTCGTGGTGCTGCTTCCCACGGGTGCCATTCCTTGGGGAAGCACAGCCAGCAGTGGGTTTTCCTTTTGTTTTGGTGTGGTAGCCTCGTGTCTGGCAAGCTGTGAGTTTACACCCCCACTCCCTCCCTCCCTGTCCACCCCAAAGCTCAGACTTGAGTTTAAAAGTTTAAAACTTAAGTTGAAAATTTAAGTTTTAAATTGTTTTTTTCTCCGGTGGGTTATCTGGTGGCGTGAAATCCCCATCCCTGTAATAAATATTCAGATGATAATATATACAAAGCAGAAAAAAAAAACAACCAAATATCCCCAGACATTATCTTGTGAAATATACTTTTGTAAATAATATTTAATTTAAAACAGACAAACAAAAAATAATAATATATTTGGTGCTGTTTTCTCAGAGCCCCCTCCCTGAGAGCACTTTTTCCTGTTGTTTATAAATAATGCCGTTTCCTCCCGGAGTTGTTGGAAAAGCACGTTTAAAGGGAAACAAAACAATCTGCGTCGCCCTCCCTGTGTTTGTGGCGGGAGAGGGGACTCCTCCTGCTCCCACCTGCACAGCCCAGCAGAGCAGGGGGGCACATCCAGGCCTGGAATCTTCCCTGGCACCAGTTTTGGCTGGAGTGAAGCAGATCTGGAGAGGGGATTGAACATGAGCTGCAGCCCCTGAGTTGTTGGAGGCTCGAGGGGCAGCAGGGAGGGAGGGAAGGGGGGAGGTTTTTAACCAGTCTTTGTTTTTAAACTAAACCACAAGTCTCTGGACATGGATCCTGGTTTTCTTTCTGAGGTTTATTTTTATTTGTTGTTGTTGTTTGTTTTATTATTTTTTTTTTTTTTTTAAAAACCAGGCTGCTACATAACAAATTAGAGTAAAAGTTTACCTCTCTGGCAGTGAAGTTCATTTATTTTGTTCTCCTTTCTGTCTTTTATCTCCCCTGTTCTCCCCCTTTCCTTGTTTTTTTAATTCACTGGGTCTCTTGTTTATCCCAAAGTGGACCAACAGCACAAACCACTGGGCTGTGTTTTGCTGGGCAAGGAGCAGTTTTCAGTGCTCAGTAACTGTTGCAAGCTCTTTAAAATCTCTGCTTTTGGTGCACACGATTTAAAAACACACAGGGAAAAAAAAAAAACAAACACCCAAACCAAACCAAACCAAGCGACCCTACGAGCGAAGCCCGTTGTTCTCGTGCCGATCAAGTGAGAATTCCCTCGGTGCCTGCACCTTCCTGACTGCTCTGTGAGTGTGTGGCTCATGCATTTTCACTGCCTTGATTTTGGGAGCAGCGTCGCCTTCCCGACTCGGGGGTGAGGAGGGGACACCACCCCCCCACCCTGTGGGATGAGCAGCTTGGAGACACCCCGAGCTCACCTCTTCCCACCAGGTGAGAGGCCTCGGCCCTTCAGTGCTCAGAAACAATCAGGTTAGACAGGGACAGTTCTCGTTCTGTCGCAGAATCCTCGTTTGAAAAAGGATAAGCGGAAGAGGGGAAACAAAAATCATCCCGAATTCAGAACAAAAAAAAATTAAAAAAAATAGAATAAATCAGCGTATTTAAAAGCAAGCAGAATGGCATCGTGTCAGGTACAACCACCAGTGAGCTGTTCCCATCGTCCCAGCTGTGTGTATCCTTCGTTTTGTTCTCCACAAGGAACTGGGAATGCTTTCCCCACTGACAAAACTAAGGACGATATTTCCAATACCAGCCTGTCTGTGGATGCTCTTGTGTTTACAAATTGTGTACACTTTTATTTCTTGGCTCTTATTTTAAATT